GGGGGGCATGCTGCGCGCATGCCTCATTACGCGGGCAGGAGGGGTAAGAAGGGCGAATGTGGTGGGGTTCGGCGGTCTTTAGGGGGCTTCAGGACGGCTGCACCCCACAACTCAATTTACCCGCAAAAACAAATTTTGCGGGGCACCCGCAGGAATCCAAGAGTTCCATTAAGAGGGCCATAGCCATGCTCTGGGGGAACCGTTCTCTCCACCCCAGCCCTGGCGACCCTTTCATAACAATGTGGGTTTTGACAGCAGGGAGAAGGGGAAGGGGAAGGTTAAGGCCGGGCGTGAAGGGCGGGTTCCTTACGATCCTTCTGTCCCCGCAGCCTCCGAAGAGAAGCCCCCTAGGGCCGGAAGGGACCGAGCCAGAGTCTGCCTGCACGGAGGGGGGTCAGAGAGGGGAGCGCGAACCTGAGGTCCCCGCGTGGGCTCCGCTGCCCGGTAAGAAGCTGGCGGTGGGGTGGGGCACAGTTTGCCATCCTGCGCAAAGTGGCAAGTGAAGAAAAAATGCTGCCCTTATTAGCATAAAGGTTCGCATCTAATTTGCATGAGACCCATTTCATCGCTGAGACCTCCGCGCTTCTTCTCGCCTTCTAGCCTGCTGTGTGTCCCCCACTCCGCCGGCCCCGCGCCCCCGCGGGCGGAGTGTCCCCGCGCCCCACCCCTGGCCCCTCGCCAGCCCAGGCTCCAGGACTTCGCCTTAATTGGTGATTAGCTTCGGCTGGAGTCCCGGGCCAGGAGGAAAGAAGGGTCGGGTGAGAGGGCGGCACCTGGGCTGTGTTCCCCGCACAGAGCCCCCCATTCACCCACCCCCACCGGGGGGGGGGGCTTGTCCACCTCTGTCCGGCTAGGGACAGCCCAACTCCAGGCCATCTTCGCACAGGCCAAAGCCGCCTCCATCGGGCTTTCTCCACCGCAGAGGCGGAGGGGCGATCCGTGCAGACCCCGCCACGGGCTTAACCCCCACCCCAGAGCCCCGCAGTCAGAGCCGGAGACGCAGGAAGGAGGGGAACCCCCGGGGCTGGGGAGCCCAGGATGCGGAGGAGGGGCAGAGGCGCTGGGGACGTGGAGTGGGAACGCGGTGGTGCCTGGGGGAGGGGGGATTGGGGCGGGAACCCGACACTGGCTAAAGGGGGAACGCGAGGGAGAGGGCGGAGCTGGGCGCAGAGGCCCCTCCCCGCGGCGGCACAGCGGCTGGGCCTGTTATTCGTCTCGCCGCTCGGCCGGGACCCGCGCAGCGCCAGTGACTCGGGGAGTCGCCCCCCCCTTCCCCCCCTGCCCGGGCCTAGAACCATCCCCAACCCGAGTGGCCGGAGACGGAGCTGAAGCGGCTGCCGCATCCCGGCCCCACCTCCCCCACCATCCCTCCCTCCCGCTGGACATCTGGACCCTGGGCCCCGCACCGACAGGGCTCCGGAAACCCTCCCCGCCCAGCCCCGCGGTCCAGCTCGCACCGCCCTCACTGCGGAGCCCCCAGCCCTCCTCCAGACTAGACTTCCGCCTCCCCCTGGACGCCCCCTCCCGGTCCCCTCCCTCCCCCCCTGCCCCAGCCTGGAGCGGGGGTAGGAGGGAGGGGGGGTGTGCGCCCTGCTGCGTCCCCGCCCCGCCCCGCCCCCCGTGATTCCCCCTGCATGGCCGGCCCGGGTGGGGGGAACGGGGGGGCCCGGGCGCCATGCGGGAGGGGCACAAGGGGGGTCGCTGTGCCTGTCCCAATGTGATCCGAAAAGTGCTGGCAAAATGCGGCTGCTGCATCGCCCGGGGGGGACGTGGTGAGTGTGAGGTCTCCAGTGCTCAGCGTTGAATGGGGGTGGGCTGAGGGGTCAGGACTTATGTTCGTCCTGGTCCTAGGGGTTTAGAAGCTGGAGACTGTACCTGTATTTTCCAGGAAATACTTAATAGATGATCTCTAAGATCCCTTCTGCCTCCAAATTTCTAACTAGTTAAGGAAATTGGGGAAGGGGCAGGGCTTTCCTGTAGTCAGCCGGGTATGAGAAAAACCCTCTACCATCCCCTCTGGCCTAGAACCGCATCTTCCCTCAAATCCTTTTGCTAAGGATTCTACTTCAGCTCTGAGGAGGGACAGAGGGATGGAGGGAGGAGGAATGAGAGGATCGACCAGGGGCTTTCTTAAAAATCGCAGCTCCTCTGCCCCTGAGCCCAGGCCAAAAATAACCCTGATAAGCTTTCCTCACTTGCCCCTTCCATTGGGTCTGCACATTTTGGGGAGGTGGGCTACCGACGCCTTTTTTTATGGTAGTGATTACTGAAATTGGTGGAGGAGGGGACTGGGGGTGGCAGATGTGCTCTTAGCTCTTCATACCCCCCTTCTCAGAAAATGGTTTGTACCCACTGGAAGGGGGAGGGCTGTAGGAGAGCAGATGGCCACCCCCAGCTTCCAGTGTCTGTCCAGATGGCTGCCCCCACCCCCATATCTGTGCCATGCTCAGGATATCGGGGAACCTCCACGTGTTACTGGGGGGTTCCAGGCCTGGGGAGCCAGGCATTTACTGTCCTTCCAAGGGTGCCCTGGTGAAATTTTCTATCTTGGCCAACTCAAATGAGGACGGTAAGAGAGTGAGCCCTGGGAAGAGGGGACGAGCATCATAGGAGACTCTGAGAGCTTCCTAGGGATCCTGAGTCTGGAGCTAGAGCAATATCTATCACCCCTTTTCTTTCTCCCCACCCCCTTAGAATCCTACTCCATTGCTGACAGTGAGGGGAGTATCTCGGCTTCAGCTGCCTCGGGTCTGGCTGTCCCCTCTGGCCCCACCTCTGGCTTCAGCTCTGAACCCTGTTCCCCGGGCCCCCCAGGGCCCAGCAGTGGCCTGAGAAGATGGTTGGATCACTCCAAACATTGTCTTAGTGTGGAAACTGAAGTAGATGGTGGCCAGGCTGGACCATATGAGGTGAGCAGGGAACACCACAGAAGCATGTAGGACATCCATGTAGGACACTGGGAGAGAAGACAAGTTGGGGGCTATTGGTTAGTGGGGAGACACAGCTACTGTCTCTGACCTCTGGCACTTGACCTTGGCCCCTAGAACTGGATGCTGGAACCAGCTCTAGCCACAGGAGAGGAACTTCCAGAATTGACCCTGCTGACCACACTGTTGGAGGGCCCTGGAGATGAGACGAAGGTATGATGATGAAATGGGTCTGGGTGGCTCCCCTCACCAAAGAGGCATCCATTTGCTTCCTCTAGGACAGTGGTTCTCAACCTTCTGGCCCTTTAAATACAGTTCCTCATGTAGTGACCCAACCATAAAATTATTTTCGTTGCTACTTCATAACTGTAATGTTGCTACTGTTATGAATTGTAATGTAAATATCTGATATGCAGGATGGTCTTAGGCGACCCCTGTGAAAGGGTCGTTCGACCGCCAAAGGGGTCGCGACCCACAGGTGGAGAACCGCTGCTCTAGGATGTTCTTTTCTTTCAGCTACCTGAGGAGGAGAGTTTGTCCCAAGCCCCTGAGAGTGAGGAGGAACAGAAAAAGAAGGCTCTGGAAAGGAGTATGTAAGTGTCCCCACACGCTCCCTTCCTCTCTACCACTCTACAACGCCCAGAGGACTGTCCCTCACATTTTAGATTTGAGAATTGGAATTTCCTCTGAGGTTGGCTGTGGAAATGAAGGGGCTTCTAGTCCAGGAGGGAGAAAGTGGCTAAACCAAGGATGTGCACTCCTTTCTTCCCAGGTATGTCCTCGGTGAACTGGTAGAGACAGAGAAAATGTATGTGGAGGACTTAGGGCAGATTGTGGAGGTAACTCCCTTTTCCCTTCCCAGCCCTGACCCAGCCCTTTCCCTCTGCCCAGGGCTAATTTTAAGAGATGCCTTGCCCGGCTGGCATAGCTTAGGGGTTAAGCATTGACCTATGAACCAGGAGGTCATCGTTCGATTCCTGGTCAGGGCACATGCCCGAGGTTGTGGGCTCCATCCCCAGTATGGGGCGTACAGGAGGCAGCAGATCGATGATTCTCTCTCATCATTGACGTTTCTGTCTCTCTCTCTCCCTCTCCCTTCCTCTCTGAAATCAATAAAAATATATTTTTAAAAAATAGAAAAAAAGGAAACAAAAGAATAAAAGATGCCTTGATGCTCCTTTGTCCCACCTTCCCAATCCCCCTACATCCTGCACTTATTATGGAGGTAGCGTTCCCACCAGGACTGGCCCCACATACCTATGTTCCCACCCCAAACTTCCCATAGGGTTACATGGCCACCATGGCTGCTCAGGGGGTCCCAGAGAAT